AAGAGACAAAGAAAAGCTTGCCGCATTTTTAAAATATGTCAGCTTATATTGGTAATGTTAATAAAAGACATTTATGAATGAATGATTTCAAGTGTCATATGTAACATTCCTACTTACTTTTTGCTAAGAGTCTTTTAAGCAGCATATGCAAAACACTTTCTAAATACAGCCCTACTCATAACAACCTACAGGGCTTTGGAGCTCCTTCACAGACGTGGAGACCGCCTCAGAGAGACTGGCAACATATCTAAGTCACCCCGTAGTATGCAGTATAGGAGGAACTGGAACTGTGGAAACAAAGAAGAGCACTCAAATGAGAATGAGTGGACTACATATTCAGAGCTTTGTACAGAAAAGGAATCAGCCACCATCATTTGTTTTTGGCAGACACTCAAAGGCAGGCAGAGGGATGGGAAAGCGTTATAATGAATAAAAGAGAGACCTTCTGACCTGAAGTTTTTGGCATGAGGAATCTCGGGGCAAATTAATTAGAAATCTGACAAAATATGTAATTAGTTTGGGGAGTATATTGACTTTCTCTGGTTAGTTCTAAATGTGGAAATTGTGGGAAATTAAGAAATCTGGAAGTTATTTTCTAAGTCTTGGCAGTTTGGGGCAAATTGCCGCAGAGGCTGTGGGTCAGAGTTTTTTTTTTTCACATGCAGTCTGGCTGTTTTCCTTTTATAAATTCTGTCTCTGAGTACCCAGGTCCAGGCAGCCCCCAAGCCTGTGAGATCATCCATATGCGCTGCGGAGAATGTAGCTAGCTCTGTAGTCACTTCCACACTCACATACGGAGTTAACTGTGCTGAGAAACAGGTGGATTGGATGTTCATTCTTTCAAAGTCTCCAGTTGGTTTACTTTCCTCTATAAATGCTGTCTGCAATGAATACTTCACCGACACATTTATCTTGTACTAGGAAATTCCTTGTTCTTTTTAGTATCTCCAATATTTTTGTTTCTTCTGAAAAACATACAGTTACAACTGGCTATGCCTAATGTTATTACAGACCCAGACTTCAGAGGCCATCCAGAAATCTAGAGAAGAGCTCGATGTGTACAAGGAACAGTATGACAATTTACTGGCAGAAGACAAGGTGAGAGCCATAGTCTTACCCCTCGCCAGTGCGGTAGAGTGCTGCCGCCAGGATTGGAGGGAAGGTTAGAAGGAGTGTAATTTAATTTCCTCACATTAATTTCCTACTATAATTCTCAGTTATGGGTGAACTTTAGTCTGTGCCATTGTAGATTTCTGAAAATCACTATGTAAAATAAATTTTTATAAACTTCTCTGGTGTAAGCTTTTCAAAAATGAAAGAGATCATCTCCACGGTAGGGCTTTCAAACTTCAGGTTGCCGGCCCTGTTAGGTGGTCGTGCCATCAATTTGGTGGACTATGATCAGCAGTTTTATAATGAAAAATATATAAAGAAGAATGGAATGGAATGGAGTGGAATGGAATGGAATAAGAACAGATTAGAGTACCTTGAATGTTTTATGGGTAAATATTGTTTTATAAAATTTCAGTTCTGAATTATTTCTAAAACCTCTTGTAGGAAATAATATTTTTAATTCACCAATGTGCTTTCTAGTCAAAACAAATGTCTAAGAAATCCTTGCACAGTGAGTAGTCACTCCCAAACAAGCCTAGTTTATAAACCAAATTTCCATGGATTTTTAAAATCAAAGTGGTACAACCCTGTATTTTAAAGTGTTGTATTGTCAATACATAACATGTTTCTGAAATATTGCAATTCTGGCAATGATCTGTTTGTGCTTAGGTTCTCGATCGCAGCTTTAAAAAAGAATTTTCTGAAATTCCCAGTCATCAAGTGGATATGCTCTACAAACTTTTTAAACGCCGACCAAGGTTTGTTTCTCCTTTGCTATCATGTTTCTGAGGAATAGTTTGTACATGAACAGGAATGTTATTAGATTTCAGCTTTTTCTCCCAATTAGATGGACATATTCAGTCTAATATCTTTTATCTGAAAATGTTCAAGTGTCTTTATTATAACTGAATTTTTTTAGATTATTCTTGTACCTTAAGGTAAGCAATGAAGAATAATAATTTCTTTTAATTACTTAAAGATACTTAAGTAGGTAAGCATAGTGGCATTAAAGATTCTATTTTATACAAGAAAGTAGTTCCTCTTAAGTCATGGGTAGTATCCAGATTTATAAACAGGTTTTTCTAAGACGTGTCCCAGGACATATGAGTACTTTGTGGTATGAATTGGAATTACATAAGGCTGTCAGGACAAAATAAGTTTGGAGAAACACAAGGTTAAAAAAAGTTAAACAGTTTTCTTTAAAATAACTTCTCAGAACTTGTTTTTAGCTTTTTGGTCTCCATGTACAAGAAATAGAGTAATTGGTGTTTTCCAAACTTATTTGACCACAAAGCACTTTTTCTTAGAGCATCTCATGTGATTGTGTTCAGACAGAGTTTGAAAAATGCCAGTATATAAATACTTGAAAGTAACCATTATCAAAAGAGTTCTAAAAAAAAAGAGTTCTGTCCCTGGCTGACCCTGTACACCAAAATGTTGCGAGTTCAATCCCCAGTCAGGGCACATACCTAGGTTGCAGTTCCTGTCCCCAGTTGGAGCACATACAGAAGGCAACCAATCAATGTTTCTATCTCACATTGATCTCTCTCTTTCTCTCTCTCTCTCCCCCCCCACCCCTTCTCTCTCTAAAAGCAATGAAAAAAATGTACTCGGGTGAGAATTTAAAAAATAATCCAATATTTATACTGAGAGTAGCATTAGAATCACATTCCTGCATATTTCCAAATTTTTATAAATTCATATTTCCATAATTTTAAAATATAATCTAGAAATCAGGGGTTTGTCACAAAGGTATAGGCTCATTTGTGTCTGAGATACAAACTCATTCTATCACCTTTGAGAGGTTACATGCAACTTGAAGCTCAACTTAAAACCGGCCTCATATCTTGATTTCCCTATTTTTTTTAAAGTAATGAGTTATAATAAGCTTGTTAAGAAAGTAGTGAGACCTCTCATATATTGGGAGGCAGCTGTGGGAAAAGTGTAAGTTTTATGGTCAAACAGAATTAGGTTTAAATCCTAACTCCACCATCAGACCTGTGACCTTAGACCAATAGTGTCTCTCAGAGCCTTGCTTTCCTCTCCGACAGAAAAAGGACACAGACAGTCACTGCACAGTGTATTGTAAAGCATTTAATAGTGAATTCCCTTCCCAGCCGTAGTCCAGGGAAACAAAACTAATCTAATAATGCAGATCAAAGAGGCACTTTCTCAAGTGGTGTGTGTATCTGAATACAGTCAAAGCTGCTCTCCTGCTGAAAGGGTACCAGCAGGAGGCAGAGCACAGAAGCATCACTCTTGGGGGTTTACTTGCTCGCTTAAAATACACAGAAGGGTGTAATTTTTAATTCTCATATTTCCTTATTTCTGGTCATGGCTGTTCCTTTACGGCTTAAAGAAGATTCTTTACATTTCTCATTAAGCTGGTTTAATGGTGATAAACTCCTGTGGTTTGGTTTTGTTTTTGTTTTTGCTTTGCTTGCCAGGGAAATTCTTTCTCTCTTCTTCAAGAAGGGAGACATTTTCTAATCCAGGTAAATTTGTCAGTGCTGACAGCAGTTAGGGACATCTTATAGTCCAGCCAAGGTTATGTCTGGGGATCCAGAGAGTATGGAAGCAGGTCAAAATAGGTGTTTTTCTTTCAAGTGCCCTCAAGTGCCAAAGGAAAGTGTCATGCAATGTCATGCCTATGTGAAACGTTATATTATTTAACATTGATTTTTTTTGTATGTATGAGAATATGAAATGTTGATGGGCTTTTATTGACAATTCCAGGGTTCACAAACCAAAAACGCCCACAGATACGACCAGTATTGTGCCTTTTGGAGAGCGGCCAGGATCTGGGAAATTGAATGCAGATGCCTTTGCCCAATTAATGAAAGCCATGGATGACCTGGACAATATTAACAACATGCCAGAAGGCTTGAACCCCTTGGTCTGGAGTCATTTCTGTGCAACCCGACGAGCAAAAGTGGAAAACGAACAAAAAGTATATAATAACATTTTATTTCATTTAATTTCATTTAATGTACTAATATAAAATATATGGTTTATGGTGGTCAATACTTAGAGAAAATCCAATTATTTACATTTTCCTGCTAGGGTAGTAGTTAGTAACAGTAATAAGAGTAATGATGAAATAAAATATCAACTTTAGTGCCACTGAGGGCTAACTCTAGGTCTGTACTTGTATAAACCCACAATGTCCAAAAGGGTGGTCACTCCCTACATGTGTTATTGTTTACTTGAAATAAATATGGCTAGTCCTAACTGAGACATTCTGTATGGGAAAATTACACACAGATTCAGAAGACTTAAAAATAATGAAAAAAATCATAGAAAATGTCTCAATATTTTTATATTTATTACAGGTTGAAATGATAATGTTTTAGATATATTGTGTTAAATAAAATATATTAGTAAAACTAATTTCACCTGTTTAATTACACTTTTTATAATGTGGCTACTATAAAATTTAAAATCATATATGTGGCTTCCATTATATTTCTCTTGGATACCACTGTTGTACACATAACTTCCCTTTCCTCTCTGCCTTAATCTTGAGTAGTTTTCATCTCCTTTTACATAGCTTAGAATTATATTTCACCAGAAACAACTTTATAGTTTTGCTAGAATATTTTTTTAAATGTAACAAAGGGTAACAAGTTGAGAGTGTGTTTAATTGGAAAGAGAATCCTTCCTCTTGCTGCTCTTTGACCAACTCCTTCCTCCCCCCCTCCAAATTCCCAAAATTCAGTGCCACAGACATCAGGTTGACATATTTTTGATAAGGTATCTATGATTTTATAATTTTATCTAAGGTGAAGGGAACAAATTTTAAAGTAAGATATAAGAAAAATTCTAGTTGCTTGCACATTTGATTTTCAGCAAGAAGCAAATGTAATACTTCTCGAATTATTCATGGGATATATACCTGGCAGGGGAGGCCCCATGATCCTGAAGGTGGTTTCCCCGGGGCGGGCTTAGCCATTGCACTCCGGGTGTGCTGACCCCTGCGATTGCCCCAGATGTGGGAAACCCGGCTGCGCAATTGGTGGTAGTGGGGGACTGCGTTCACACTCTCCCCTGAAGAAAAAAGAGAAAGAAAAAAAATAGATTTAGATATCCTGTATTATTACATAATGGCAGGGATTTAAATTTTTATTAATCTCTTAGAAAGAGGGGGTTGTTTTGGTTTTGTAACAAAGTCAAAAGAAGTATGTTTTCTAAAGCTCTTTAAAAATTAGTTTGCTTTTATTTCTCAAGATCCATATGTTCTGAGATGTTTGTGGTTTGATTTCTTCAGGTAAAGCAGAAAGCAGCTGGCTTAACGGAAATGGTGGCTTTCCACCGGAGGAGAGTTGACGAGGATGAGAAGGTGCACCAGGAAATTGAAAAAGTGTCCCATGAACTCATTCTGTAAATTGGACCTTTCATTCATGTTCATTTATTCAAAGTCTAAGCAAGGGCTAGGTTAGCTTGTGTTGTCATGGGGGAAGAATGCCTACACACTGGCTTACAGCTAGCAGAGAGCTGTCTATATCTCCGTGGACTTTAAAGTGCACCTTGTTATATAACACCCTATTTCAAAGTGAAACTTCCCTGCATGTTCCATTGCTATTATAACAAATAAGTAACTTTTGGAAAAGTCTTAGTATTTTTCCATCTGCTCCTTTCACGTAAAACTATTCTATACAAAGAATTTGTTTCTGCTAATGAGTACTTTTGGGCTCAAGCCACATGAACGATTATGTGGAAAACTAAGCAGATATCCACAAAATTTCCATTGAGACACGTAACGAGCCAATGTCTTTTTCTTTAAGGGACTTGTATTTTGCTGGGTGATGGGGATACTGTGTTGTCCTTACTTTACTTTTGGCTATATTTATAGCCATACTGATACTTTTCTAATGTCCCCAAATTCAACATTATATATCATTTTTCAGATCTAGGCTATATAGAGAAATATGAGTTACCCAGAAATAGATTTGATAAGTAGCATATAGAACATTGTTAATATAATATCAGAACTCAGTCAAAAGTTTTTTGGCAGCATCTTTATTTTCTTCTACTTAATCATCACAATTATATTAGTCTTTTTAAATCATAAAGTGAAGCTTTATGAATGTATTTCTGTCCCTACCACTCTTTGAGCAGCCCAAGTATGATTCTATATCAATAAGAAGAGGCATCATGGAGATCTCTAGTAAAGTTCATCCTCAGGAAAATATTTTCCACATTAATTTCCAGCATGTCTTCCTTAAACTAAAGGACATTTAAGTTTGGGTTTATATTCTCAGGTAATAGGTGAAATTTAAAATATAAATATATTGCAATTATCTACTTGAAAGTCTTTTTCAATTTAGGTTACAGGAAGAGAAAGTGAAATTCCAATTGAATTTGACAATCCAAATTCTCCTTAAACAAGGACAAGTAGAAGTGGAGAATTTCCAGTTATTGCTGGATTATTCTGATGCAATTCTCATCAACAGGAACATAATTGAAGACCTGAATTCTGTGATTCGGGTAATTATCATTTTCTAAAGAGAGAAAACAACCATGTATCAAATATTTTTTATTCTTCTGTTTTCATGGTTGTCCATTTTCTTCTGGCTTTCAGAGTTTCTGACATAATGCCTACTACATTTTTTTTTAAACTTTGTTCCCCTTACTGTAATGTGTCTGCGTTTGAGACTTTATCTTTGGTTTTCCAGTTTATCTATAGTGTCAGAAGGCAGGGCTACAAAGGTATGCAGATTAGAAGGTTGGTGATTTGTCTGCCTAATCATTGGCGTATAAATTGGCTATGCCACTCACATTTATCTCATAATTCCTTCTGCTCAGCAACTATCATGCATTATAGTGATCAGATTTTCCCCAAGAAGTCATTTAAAAATATTTGCTATATTTTTTAAGCAAATAAACTTATCTCTGTGATCCGAGTGTTTTCTAATTACAGAATACAGCTTCAGATATTCTCTATTCTTTGTGCAGAATCATATTATATAAATATCAGAATGTACTTTCTTTTTTTAAGACTCAAGGACAAAAGAAAGTTTCTAGCATGATGGAAAGTAAAGATATCCACAAAGGAATATTTCAGATTGAGTGGGAACATAAGAAAATGGAGATGGAAATGGAAGATCTAAATCAGAAGGCTTGGGACATTCAGATGCTGTTTTTTTCAAGAGAACGTCAAAAGGTAAGTTCTTCCTGCCCCGCTATCTAATTTTAATTGTATTCATTGATGCATTTATTTCACTAGTATTTAACAAGAAGCCTCTGTGATATCAAGCATATTCTAAGCCAGTGGTATTTCAAAGTGTATCTATGAATTCTGTCTTTTTCTTCCAGTAATTTACATTAGCTGCCTTAGGTTCTTCTTGACCCATTCAGCACTGCAGTTCTATCTTACAGTTCAGTGAGGATTTCCTAATTGTCAAATCCAGTGATCACTTTCTCAGTCATCACCATCCTTCAACTCTGTAGCATTTGACCATCTCAACTGCCCATTCCTTTAGCTTTTATCATCTCTTTTTTTTTCTTTTTGCCCTTTTTTTTGTCCAACATGCCAAACCACTCTGTCTCTGTTACCAATTTCTCTTTTGCTTCTAACTCTTAAATGTACCTATTTTATGAGACTCTACCCTTAACTCTGCTTGTGTTTCTTTCCATACCCTCTCCTATAGTGACCTCTATTTTTCTAAATGATCACTTCAATGATCACTTTTAAAAGACTAATACAAGCTTTCTAGATTCCAATTCAATTTTAATTCCAATCCAAGCTCTCTGGCCCTGACCTCCCTCAGGCTTTATTTCTTATTTCCCGCTACTAATAGCCAATCTTTATTTGCCTGGTTCTGTTCTTTTCAGCCATTCATCAGGCTTCAGTTGTGGACATCTATGACTACCCTCTTTGCCTTGCCTTCCATGCCTTGCCCAGTTTATCTCTGCATTATCATTCCTATTCAGCTTTAATAGTGTTACTACTCTGCTCAAAGATTTTGAACTGCCGCTTCTGACCTGGCAAATGACTTAGGATATCCTTAGGTGGTTGTTCAGTGTTCTTCAACCTAACTTTTCATTTCATTCCCACTGTTCCTCTCATACATCAATATTGTCAAACCCAACTGATTACTGTTATCTAGGATTCTATCTCTGTGCTTTTGCTCATTACCAGTTCTTCTTCCTAAAATACCTTTCCTCATTTTTTTCACATCCCAGATCTATCATTTTTCGAAGTCTAGCTTAAATGCCACCCCCTTCATAAATCCTTTTGATTTCCCCCAATCCAGAGAAACCACATCCCATCTTAACTTTTGGACTTGCATGTCATTTTATGTATTTTCTGGTAGCTAATCAATTCTACGCATTCTCTTTTTTTGATGGTACGTCATGTCACTTATCTTTGTATCTTCCTCAGTGTCTTTAACTGTAACACCGTTAATGTGGGACTCAAATGAGACAATAAGCATTTGGTGACTTGAATGAATGAATGAATGAATGAATGAATGAATGAGAAAATAAACTCTAGGCATTTGTAACTATTAGCATATAGATGAGCATTTCAGTAGCTAAATAGAAGTAAATATAGCACAAAAGTCAAATGAATCTTAGATGTATAGTTTTTATGAAAATAGTAACGTTCAAAACTAAGGTAATCTTTATAAAGTTATCTATTGAAAAAATAGAGAAATATGTTCTTTTATAAACATATATATATATATAGTGAAGTTTTCTTTCTTCTCTCAAAGTTCCTAAATGAACCAAACTATGATACTCTGATTGCTATTCAAATTGGAATAATGGAACAAACCATTGCTGTTTTAGATAAGGTAGGTCTCATAGATATTGACCATTATAATGCCAATAGTTGTAGTCATTTGTACAAGGTAATAGTGTTCCAAATCATGAACTCAACCAGAACCTAACAAGGCTGAGGTCCTTTTCTGATATTCAGGATGCAATTAGAGGTTCCTGAATAGTGTCTTTGCAACCATAGCAAGTCTTGTAGACTGAAGCACTTCTTTTAATATTAGAATTAACCTCTTGGTAGATATCTGAGTGTACATGAATCTCCTGTTTATATTAGATTATAATTTGTGTAATCAAAATGTTGATAGTCTTACCTTGGCATTGTAAAGGCTTTTTTTTTTATAACTGCTTAACGAATACTCAGATTTGATTGTGTAGTATATGTAAAGTGAAAACAAAGTAATCTCAAGGCTATGTGTTTTAATCTTCTCTCATTTTTAAGAATATACAAGATTTTTTCTGAAATATGGCATTATCATACCATTCCATCTTTCAACAAATAATTTAGGTACCTACTATGTGCAGGCATTATGCTAGGCACTAGGGATATGGTGATAAGATGGTATCTTAATGATAATAAATTTTAATTTTAAGAATAACATCTTTATAAAATATATTTTTTCTAAATTATTTTTGTGGGGTGTCATGGAAACAAAAACTTCAGACCCACAAAAAGAATGTGGAAAACTGTAAAAAACTACTAAAAAAACTGGAAAAGGTCAGCAATCAAAAAGATATAGCAAATTATACTCTAAGCTGCAATTTACGAGACGAGTTGGTGGCTGTCTCAGAGAGAAAAGACATCTGTAATGCCATGGGTAAGCTTTATTTTTTTCCTTTATTCCACTGTAGGTTCTTTAAATGTAGTCAGTATTCCTGAAATCTGTACAGTTGTTATAAAGCTACCAGCATTTCTCCCACATGTTTAATTCATTCTGAATGCTATTTCTATACTGGAAAGTACAGAAAATAGTCCAACTAATTCTTTTATTCTTCATTGTTGGGATAGGGTCTCAATTGACTTGGGAAAAAATTGCCAAAGAACACTATGAAAACATGATGCAACAACAAAAGTTAAGAAATACTTCAAAAGAACAAGCCAAACAGATTTCAATACTGCAGGCTGAAGTTGAAAGATTAAGGATGAAAACATTTCCTGCTCTTGTTCCATTGTAAAAACACTGGTGGGAAACATAAAGCTAAAACAATCATTTAAAAAATAATTTTATTAAAATGATTTGTTTTGTTTTTTCATATAAGGAAATTTAAGTAGT